ATATATATATATATAACATATTCCTTAAGCTTACAAAATGGAAAAGGAAAAAAGATAATATTATAAAGGTGAAAAATATACAATATATGGCAAATTAATGAAACTCGCTTCGACTACTGGTATTATAATACATTATCATAAATCATTTAAAATTAATTGTCTCAAACTGTGACTGAGATCATAAAACATAATGCATAACAATTCTTTAATCATTTCATAGTAGAAATTGATGCAAATAAAGAAAATACGCAAGAAACTAATATTTGAAACTAATCGATGGAATTTTGATAGAAAACATACAAATAGGATTGCAAAATGGCCTACCAAAGTTGCTCAAATTTTCAAGGTAAAATATAACTCAAAAGTTGAAGTAGAATTTTTTTTTATATGAACTTCATTCATAATTGTGCTAATTAAACACATATAACATTGTCAACAAAACTAAACTCAATTGTGTTGCTTTCCTGTAGTTTGTTAACAACACAAAATGTTGTACATTATTCTATAAGAATAGTTTCTCCAATAGTCTTTCTCCAACAAACCCCACATCTATAAAATATCCAGTATGTTAATTACTAATGTATCAAATTATAAAATTTTAGAACTTATATATAAAAAGAAAACCACTGATTTAACAACAAATTTTTAGCTTGTGTATTATGCATCTAATTTATTTATAATGGTTTAAATTATAATATGTTTAAAATTATAGTTTTCTTTGACCTCTGAAATTTAAAAATTACGAAGATTAATTCTATTAATATATTTAAATATGTTAATAAAAAATTCATTATCAAGTCTTCCTAACATTCAAGTTTATTGTTAAAGAAATGAATGATTAAAGTAATAGATTTGTTGATTACGTTAGCTTTTGCACCATCAAACAACATAAATTACAATAAAGTGATAGAACTACAAATGAGAGCACAATGTCAAATTTCACTATAAAATATTATTATTTTAAAATTGATTAACATTGCATTTAAATATTTTGGCAAAGAACAAGTGGTTGTGGATACATGGAATTAGATTTTTTATAAATGTATCGAAATAAATGGATTGTTTTGAAACTCGTACCTGAACCAAACATTGGGACAATTTCAGCAACCGCTTCTGCAATGGAAATAATGCATGATGAACATCAAAGACAAATTCATTATGACAACGGAACACTAATGGAAGTTTTAAGATTACCTTTTGTGCACAGATCGATCAATGAACTCTTATGGTTTATATAGACTTGCTTGCTTCTCTCAATGAAGGATGAGATCGAGAGAGACCAATATATATAGCAATAAAGAAAAAGAGCGAAGTTGCTGGGAAAGTGGGAATGCAGCCAAGACTTTGACTTTCATGAGGCAGAGCAGAGCCGTGTTTAATAAGTATTTAGGTCTAAAACAAATTTTTTTTATTTATATTTTACTTTTACGGAGGAGAAAATAAGATGTCATGCCTTGTACACACTTCATACGCGCAAGCGTCTCTAATTTAAATTTGCATGTCATTGATGCTATCTATATTATGGTAATTTCACTAATTTGACTTGTCGTGCCAACCCATGTAGGTGTTTGTATGAAAAATAAATTTTTGAAGTAAATTTTGACTTTTATTTTTGTATACAATTTTATTGTATTTCATTTTTATATTTTCTAAACAAATAATATCTACATTTGGTCCATTTGATTGCGGTAAATAAAATATTAATAATCAGTAATTACTAATTAAAAAATTAAAATAAATAATAAATATTTATTATTAAATACAAACTATTATCTTACACGAAAGCGGAACTATTTTTTAATTAAAGTTTTTTCATTTTAATTTATTATCTAATTCAATTTGATTTATTATATTTATTTGTAAATTAAAATTTAATATTTTTAAAAATAAGTTATCAATAATTAAAATAATATTGTGTTTTAATGTAAATTATTTATATATATATATATATATATATATATATATATATATCGCGTTAAGAAAGAGTAAAAATCAAATTGTTAAAAAGTTTAGGAAGTAAAAACTTATTTAACTTTCAAAATACTATAATTTGAGATAATTATTTTAGTTTAATATAAAATAATTATATTTTTTTTATCTTTTTATTTTATTTATACATTTTTAGGTATTGTATTTATTAAAATATTCATTTTGATTATTTTTCTATATTTAAATTGATTTAATTTTATTTTAAATTAATGATCATTTTTAACTTTGTAACATAATTTTAAATCAAAATGAAAAGCTTGTAACACTAGAGTTACCCATATAACAATTATAAGTTTCAATTGATGTTCAATCTAATATAAAAGAGCGACAACCATGATAAAATTGTTTGATAAATATATTCCACAAGCAATTAGTAAATAGTAAAATTAGTTTTTATTTTAATTTTTCAATAACTTTTGAATTATTCTTATTTTTTTTTACCAAATTTATAACACTTTTGTTTGAATTTACATTGCGTTCAATAATATGAATAGAACTAAATTTAATAAAACAAGTTTCAAATATTAAAATCAATAAAAGAAAAATTTAAATCATATCCCAAAATTAAAACAATAATTATTTAAAAAAAATTAAACCAAACTTTAAGAAATAAAGAACTAAAATAACATCTTAAAAGAAAAAACTAAAATGAAATAAATAAATAAAAAAGAAGATAAAGACCATAAATATAATTTGTTACAGGAGATAACGAGATTTACTTCATAATTTTATTTAAGATTTAATTGTTGTTAACCTTTATTTACTTATTTACTTCTTTTAAATACTAATAACTATACTAACCATTCTATTTGTTTCATAATTTTTATTAAACATTTAATTGTTCTGAACCTTTATTTGTTTCTTTTAAATATTATTAACTCTACCGACCATTTTAATTATTGTTCTTAAAACTAATTATATTTCACCTTGTCTAATTTCTAATAACGTAGGAATTTATACTATTTTGTTCAACTCATGGTTTGTTTTTTAATAAAATGTTTAAATTAAGATCAGTGATAACTTTATGTAAGGTCAAATCTACTATCAACTTTTTTGAAAATTTATAATAATATTACATATTGTCTAGCCGTTTCATGTGTACCACACCACTTATACTTTTTTTTTATCCACATAATTTATATAATATCTCAAAATTATTGACAAACTGAGATAATTTTATTTATAATTATTTCACTAGTGGAAAAAACGTTTTTAAAATCGGTTATATTGGACTTTTAAAATCGATTTTTTTCTTTGTTCTTTTAAATAAATACGAATAAATTTAAAAAAAAATAAGAAAAAAAATAATACAAATTTTTACATATAAATATTTCTATTTTTGGTTTATATATATATAAAAATATTTTTTTAATCCGCCCCTAATCTTATCAATTAGGAAAAACTTGAACTTGAACCAGATAAATAAGAGTCATTCCCGTCCAAATCAGGACGGGTTCAGGCAAGTACCCACGGGACGGGTTAGATTGTCATGCCTAATTCATATAGAGAATAAAAATAAGACCTTATAACTCCAAAAACATGTATGAGTTATTGTTAATATGTATTATCAAAGATAATTGAAAAGTTCTTGTGACGATGAATAGAGATTAATAAAAGAATTAAACACATAAAGCGCTCTTAATTGTACACACTTAAAATATAATAATTATTTTAATAATTTTTTTCAGATCCTGATAAAATAAATCAAATTATTTCCAAAAAGAATTAAATTAAAATAAATTCAAGAGTGGGCACTCATTTTCATTTTCGGTGAGATTTGAGTTTCCTGTCTCGCTCCCGTCCCGTCCTCGTTCCCACCTTTTTTTTTCTTTGTTCTTTTAAATAAATACGAATAAATTTAAAAAAAAATAAGAAAAAAAATAATACAAATTTTTACATATAAATATTTCTATTTTTGGTTTATATATATATAAAAATATTTTTTTAATCCGCCCCTAATCTTATCAATTAGGAAAAACTTGAACTTGAACCAGATAAATAAGAGTCATTCCCGTCCAAATCAGGACGGGTTCAGGCAAGTACCCACGGGACGGGTTAGATTGTCATGCCTAATTCATATAGAGAATAAAAATAAGACCTTATAACTCCAAAAACATGTATGAGTTATTGTTAATATGTATTATCAAAGATAATTGAAAAGTTCTTGTGACGATGAATAGAGATTAATAAAAGAATTAAACACATAAAGCGCTCTTAATTGTACACACTTAAAATATAATAATTATTTTAATAATTTTTTTCAGATCCTGATAAAATAAATCAAATTATTTCCAAAAAGAATTAAATTAAAATAAATTCAAGAGTACTATGGCATATATTACTCCCAATCAGCATCGCCCTTAATTGCATACACTCATTATTTTACTTGCCAAGATATGTAGCCCACGAAAGTTCTATAATTTAGCTACTAAGGGCTTGGGATAATAGAATGGCCGAAAGTAGCATCTTCTTTGTTTCTTTGAGTTTTTTTTTTTTTTACTTAAACTTTTTGTAAGTTATGGTAGTATGTTCTTTCATAAATATATCTTGTATTTTTATAGTAAATAAAAAAAATTGATAGACATGTGATTTTCATTGATTTTCATTTTAAAACATTTTTAATGTAGTTTTAAAAAATGTTTTAGAAAAAGGAGGATTCAAATAACATGAGTGTAACTTTTACCAAATATTACATTGTTCAATAACTTTATATTAAATGTATATTTTGTCGATTCAATTGTCGAATTATAACTTTATATCATCTTGTATGTTTATATCAAATTTTGTTAAAATTAAACAACAATTTGAAGATAATCAAAGTATTCACATTTTAGTATATTTTGAAGTGTATATATTACATCAGTTTTGTATTATAAGAATGATGTATCAAATTATCTTAAATTAATATAATATTGATAATGTTAATTTTTACTTACATTCTAGTACCAAATTTGTTAACACATTTAACTCTTTTCTAACTTTTGACTTATGTAATCCTCAATTTAACTTCTCTTTTGTAAGTAAAGACACTTTGGTTACACATACAGGGTTATACATAATTAATCCTCATTTTTTGTGATTTTTTGGATAGGTAATCATGTTGGAAGAGGTCATGTCAAAGAGAAGAAGCTGGATTGAACTCCAATGAAGCTAGCTGGAATTTTCAGTAGACCCGCGCTGAGCCCATAGCTCAACTCGCTCAGCGCACTGGATCAGGGAGTTGATGGAGAATTGGCACCGCGCTGGGCGTGCCCAATCATGCGCCCAGCGCGCCTTTCATCATGTGC